CGGTACGTACGGCGCTCGTTCCCACTGGGGTCATGCATATTGAAGAGCCTGGAACCGCCTCCGCGGTCCTGCATCCTGGAAGAGTTCGCCGAGAGGTTGGTTGAACCCATGAACGCGCCGCGGGCCGACGTCCGACCACGGGCACCTCGAGATCGTTGAGACGACGGGAGAGGCGGGTTATTGCGTTGGTGAGCATTCGCGGCGCCGTAATAGAAATTGACTTGAGCGGGAGAACGAATGTGGTGAATGGATCCCCGGGCCCCGACAGAATTGAATTCTGCAGCAGTTACTGAGAGCCTGTTGCAGCGGGAGAAGACCGACATGGGAGAAAAGACAACGAGCCATCCCGCAGAATTTTCGCGGCTTAAGTAGCACCTGCGGGAGCTCGTTCTCACGGAAACTGCGCATAAAGGCGGTCATAATTCCTACTGTGAGTGGTGGCGGTAGTCAAGTGATAGAGACTAGAGCTCGGCTGAGTCGCCCGCTGATCTTTTAAGTAAGTACATAAGGCGGATCGTGAGTCAAAGGACCGTTTTGTCAAGGCTTTTGGCCCGTTTGGGAAGCACTCCGTGGGACGAAAATGCAGGAAGCCTCGTTCAACAGCCTTATGTGGGTGATAGGGTCCTGGGTGGGCACCGTTTTGCAATTTGTCAAGGTTTTTGGCCCGTTTGGGAAGCGCTCCGTGGGATGAAAATGCAGGAAGCCTCGTTCAACAGCCTTATGTGGGTGGGCCACAAGGGCTGTGTTAAGAAGGTGACATTATATGCGGACCGCCATGGTCGGAATTTCAAAACTCACAAGATGCTTTACGCAAACGCACTGGCGCCATGGCGCAGACCTCCGTGGTCAAGGAGAGATCCCTCCCGTGGGTTGCTGGTCAAAACCACACTTGTGTGTCTTTCTCAAGCTCTCTTCCGATTTCCAAAGCCTGCCGACGTGCAGCACGAGGGCAACGCTGATGCTTCAAGAGCGGCCGTTTCACTCGAGGACGTCGTTCATCCTTCCGCCTGCTGAGGCAGCGGAGGGCGGCCACGAGCCTCCGCTCATCGCGACCGGGCCGTTACCCGCCAATCAGCCTTGGCGAAGGCTTGGCAACCACATCGTGTGACAGCGTGTGACATGTGTAATTCTGGGCGACATCCTTCTTTCAGCCGCCTTAGTGGGGTCATACTACTACCCTTGGGTCGAGCGAGCCTCCACAGAACTACCTCGAAAAATCTTGACTTGAATCTGGGCTTTTATTCCTGCGAGTCGGCCTGCATTGCCGTCACCGGAACACTTCGTCGCTCGCGCCCAGGCGTCGTTCTTGTACTCAAGATTTATCGTGTCGTCTATTTTCACTTGCCTGCGGCAGTGGATTTCCCCCAAAGTCCTGGGGTCTCTTTTCTCGAAAGGAGATGGTGTGCATGCACGCTGCAAAGGGAAAGACTTACGACCCTTGAATCGGCGGCATATAACCGGTTAACTGGCCGAATAACCTACTCAAACCCACGTCTACGTCCACGGAACGGATATTGGCATCATCACGTATGAGCGATGTCCCTGCACTCGCCCTCCTCGTCCTCGCCCTCCTCCTCCTCTCCAGTCACAATCCCCATCCCCGGCCGCTCTATCCTCTAGAAACCGTCCCCCGCCCAGGGCGGCCTCTTGTCGCGGATCGGACTCAGGAGCTTTTTGCGGGGCTTCTTTAATTCATCTTCGCAAGCTCTTTCTCTTCGTCGACGTCGTTCACCCGCATCCTCCAGCGCGTGCACTTCAAGTCCTCGTCCGCCGCGCTCCCTTTCCCGACAACTTTACGAGAAGAGCAGCGGGCGATTGAGCAAGGGGAGAGGCATCTTTAAGCCTGGATCGCTGCGTTTATCTACCACCCTTGAACGGCCTTTTTACTAGTAGTACAATCCCCGGTGTACTAATTGGGTTTAAAGTGTGTTTATTCAAGTCTAATTGCCGAGGCGGGTCCCAACGCGTACGCTCCGCCGTACCGATACTTACCCGAGCATTCCCGCCATCCAGGCCGTAAGAGGAATGCCCACAATATGCACCCCTCGGGTCGCAAGCGGTATTGTCGTACGGGTAAGTCTCACCTGTTGTCTCGACGACAATGCTTTGACCTTCGCCCCTGTGGCCGGAAGCAAGGTCAAGCCCGCGATGCTTGGACCGCGAAAACGCAACACTTTGTTCTTTTGTTGCTTCCTGGCCACGATCCAACAATGGACGGCCACCTTTTCCAAAAATGGGTTCTCGGTCAAAGCGTTGATCGCGCAGCGGGTATATAATGTCACCACGCTCTTGCTCTTAATCACAGCCTTGCTACCAACTTTCCAATCGCCCTCGCACAACATGGAACCCGCTCTTCCTCTCGACCTGGAACGCGTCATTTTCGAACTCGCCGCGAGCGTACACTTTTCCACCATCCCAACCCTGATGCGGGTGGCACACCGCGTCAAACATTGGTACGTATTTCCCAGAGCTACCCAATACCAAATTGAGTACTCATTCCATACATGCCAGGGTCGAACCTTTCCTGTACAGAGTAATGTTCGTAGGCACGTCGCACCCCACCCCCGTCGCATTCGTCCTGAGCCCCCGATCCCGCTCCTCCTTCTACCGCGACGCAGTCCGGCACATCTGTATCGACCCACCCGTCCTGAGTCCCTTCACCATCTCCGCCATCGATGCAATCTTCACCACCTGCACCCGCATCGAGAGCCTCGCCGCCAAAAGCACGCACAACCAGTCCATCGCGTTCCTCTTCCCGTTCATCTCCACGTTCCCAGCGCTTACGCGCCTCCACGCCGACCTCACTGATCTGCTCTCGGAACTCCCGCGCAACGAGCGCAGCACCGCGTTCGACGCGTTCTCCAACCTCACGCACCTCGAGATGCGCGAGCACATCCACGCGCCCGAAGTCTGCGCCGGCCTCGCGCGTCTCCCGCACCTCACCCACCTCGCGCTACAGTACAACCCGTACGCGCGCGGGATCGTACCCCTCTGCATGAACGTGCTGAAGGAGTGTCGCGCGCTGCGCGTGCTGGCTGGCCTGTCGGAGATGTGGATTGAGCTGGGGGTGGGCGCGCCGTTTTACCAGGCGATCGATACGCCGAGGATTCACAGCGACGACGTGCGGTTCGTGCTGGTGCAGCATCCACCGAGGGTCACAGAGGATGTAGGGGCGTGGTTGAGTGACGCTCGGAGTGGTCGGATGCCGGGATTTTGGGAATGCGCCGAAGAGGCTGTAGGGAGGCGCATCGCAGCCAAATCGGCGAAGAAGGAGAGTCAAATGTAAGCAGACGCGTATGCGTCGATATCGATTTTATTGGCAATTTGTTACCTAGTCGATGACAATTGTGACGATGTTGTCGACTATGTGAATATGTCTATTGTGCACTGGCCAACACTTTTGGCTCCATTTCCCGTCCTCCGTAGACTTGACCGCCGCGATATCAACCATCCCGCTCATTCTGTGACCCCGAACTTGTCCAGGTCAGTCTGCATTACTCTGTTACTCTTGTGTTAGACCATTATCTTCTTTCATTCGTCCAACCTCAACATCTCAACCCAATGCCGCAATGTAAACAATGTTCAACCTCGTCTATCCCTCGGAACCAACTTGATGCATGAGGGCCGTGTTCGATTCACGGGTGGGTCAGAGTAATATTTCGTTGTTGTTTTTCTCTCCTCGTTTGTCGTCCTTGTTCCCTTCGTTTTTTACTGGTTATGTTCCTCAGAACCATCTTACGCCTTCACTAGATAAATTCAACCATCGATATCTCACTGGCAATATTCTCAGGCTCTCAATTTATTTAGTTTGAATGCCACTAATAATGACTTCAAAGTTGTCTCCTTTCCCTGCAATGTTAATGCAGTCTTTAGTTGAATGAGGAACTTGAACGAAAGCAAGCACCCAACGACCCAGTAGCGCACGACGGTTCGTGGACATGCGCGTGTTGTGCATAGTATGATTTCCGTTTTCAATTCACGGTTGGGTCATGGGTTCTTTCCAATCTGTTTGACATTTATTTTTCTCTTTCTCGGTGAACCATTTTCAGATGAAACTCCACGACTTTTGTTCTGCATCTTACCCTGGTCGCTAAACTCCTGCATTAAACTCACGAAGAACGTCTTTCTTGTTTGCAATTTAATTTTCGGTTGAAGAATCCCAGTTGTTGAATATCGCATCCCAACGGCGGGTGTGCTCAAAGAATCCGATACCTAGGCTTCGATTGTAAGCAGAACGACCCAACAGCACACGTTGGTTTGTGCGCCTGCCCGTGGTGGTTAGATTTAGAACGCGATTACCGGCATGCAGGAGGTCCGTGTTCGACTCACGGTTGGGTCATAACTGACAATTTTTTTTTTACTCCCCTTTTGTGGTGCTGAGCCTTGCCCGCTAATTTGTGGAATATTTTTGTCTTTGAGGAAGCCCTCCGGAGAACCTCTGGGGAAAAATCCACCTCAAACTTGACACGAAACTGACCATAATCCATAGCGGGTGGTTGAGTATTCGGGTTCGGGCAGGCACGTCCGAGACCACAACGAACATTATCCGTGGGTGCAGAATCAAATCCATAGCTTTAAGTCGGATGAGGAACTTATACCAACGATTCAATGGCACACAGTGGTTAGTGCACCCCACGTTAATAATGTCTTGAAGAATGGTTGCAGGAGGGCCGTGTTCGATTCACGGTTGGCTCGTTCGCGCGCATTACTCGTTGTTTTTCTCAGTCTCCCCGTCTGTTGTGCTTGTTCCTCTTTCACTGGTTCTCTTCCTTAGAACCATCTTACGCCTTCAACAGATAAATTTTACCATCGATATCCTAGCTTTTGGCATCTCCAAGATGCCCGACGGGGCGGTGTGTTCAAAGAATCAGATACGCGGGCTTCGAGTTGTAAACAGCCAACGACTCAATAGCACACAATGGTTAGTGTGCCTGGCCCCGGTAAAAACCCTGGCAGGGTGGATGTTCAGATGTATTGAATTCGAGTTTTAAGCAGCCAACGACCTAATAGCACAAAATCGGGAGTGCACCTGCCCACGTTGGAGGCAAATGCAAGTTGGATGCAGAAATCTCGTGTTCGATTCACGGTTAGGTCATACGACAGTCAACGACGGAATTTTTCTCACCCTGATTGCCGTGCTCGTTTCTGATGATCTCATACCTAGCCTTCGAGTTATAAGCAGCCAACGACCTAATAGCACAAAATCGGGAGTGCAGCTGCCCACGTTGGAGTAGATGCAGGTTGGATGCAGGAGGACCGTGTTCGATTCACGGTTAGGTCATTATCGAACAGTCCTGCTAGTGGGATAAAGCATGTTTTGTTACAATTGTTGTGAATTCGAACTTGTTTGCTGGCTGACTTCGTGGGGGCGCAGAAAGGATCAGATACTTAGGCTTCCGGTTGTAGGCAGGCAACGACCCAATAGTACATAATGGTCCGTGCACCTGCCCGGGTTGAAATCTTCCAATAGGGTTGCAGGAGGACCGTGTTCGATTCACGGTTGGGTCATACTGCGGGATGTCGGTTCTTTTTTTACCCTCCGCTTAAATCTGTGGTGCCGAGACCTGCCCGCTTGATTTGTAGAAGTATTTGTGTTTGAGGAAATCTTCCGGAGAACCTCTACGAAAAAATCCACCCTTGACTTGGCATGAAATTGGCCATAATCCGTGGTTGATTGTTGGGCCCAGGCATGCACGTCCGCGACCCTAACGAACATCGTCTGTGGGTGCGTGAAATCAAATCCATAGCTTCAAGTCCGATGAGGAACTTCAGCCAATGACCCAATAGCACACGATGGTTAGTGCGCCTGCCCATGGTGGGTATAGAGACTGTTTACCGGGATGCAGGAGGACTGTGTTCGATTCACGGTTGGGTCATGCGGCAGCCCAAGACAATTTTTATCTCCCCCACCATAGTTTGTTCTGCTTGTCCCTTCGTTTTTTTATTGGTTCTCTTCCTTAGAACCATCTTACGCCTTCAACCATCAATATCCCAGCTTTTGGCATCTCCGAGATGCCCGACGGCCCGGCAGGTGTGTTCGAAGAATGAGATACGTGGGCTTCGAGTTTTAAGCAGACAACGACGCAATAGCACACAATGGTTAGTGCGCCTGCGCATGTTTATACAAGACGTTCGCGCTGGGATGCAGGAGGTCCGTGTTCGACTCACGGTTGGGTCATGCAGAAGAGCGTCCCGTTTCTTTTTCTCCCCGTTTGGTGTGCTTATTCCCTTTGGTTTTTCACTGGTTCCCCCCTTGGAACCATCTTACGCCTTCAACATATAAATTCAACCCTCGATGTCTCAGGCTTCTCGGGCTGTAATGTATTTGATGATACTCCGAGTCAATCCCTACCGATGACTTCAAAATCGTCCCTCGCATAAGAATATCAATACAACCTTCAGCTGGATGAGGAACCTGAATGAAAGACTCAACAGCACATAGTGCTCAGTGCGCCTACCACTGTTATTACGTGGAAACAGGGGACCCGTGTTCGACTCACGGTTGGGTCATTCGTTAGGTCACTCGGCGCCGGACCGCTTTTTTTCGCTCTTTCACTTGCGAAGTTCCATCTCTTTTCTGCCGGTTTGTTGCCCTTGCTTGCGTACCTTTTTGATTTGCTTCTACTTACTGTGTTTTACCCCATGAAATCCCGGGCCCACGCCGGGGCGCTCGCTGGATGAATTTAATCATCTGAGGTCCATCGATGATTTCCGGCTCGTTAAACCACCGTTGCATTCGATTGCTGTGAGTTCCTGGTCCCAAAAAAACAGAAGGTCAACTTGAACTTGAACCATCAACCATCACCTAGCATCAATCACTGGCACACCTTTGCCAAACAAGGCTCCTTCCGCCGACCTCCGTGACCCGAGCTGCTCCTCAGACGCCTGGTGTCGCTTCTCGATCTAAAGGGACTAGGAGACTCGCAAGCGTACCACAGCTCACCAGGCTTCGAATTGGCAGGCGCGAAAAACGGGCAAAAAGAAGGAACAAATATATGCCCTTGCATCGAATACTTGGGACGGAATAAACGATGTCGCTGCACTCGCCCTCACTGGGACCATCCTCGCCCTCGCCCTCGTCCTCTGCGGTGACAATCCCGATCCCCGGCCGCTCCATCCTCAAGAAACCGCCCCCCGCACAGGGCGGCCTTCTCTCTCGCATGGGGCTGGGCAGCTTCCTGCGCTCTTCGTCGTCCGCCGCCAACAACACCTCAACGCAACCCGGACCGTCGAATGTGGGCGAATACGGGGGGAAGGATGTTAGTAGTGGGAAGGACGGTGGCGGTGGTAAAGATGGAGCAAAGGACGAATCGACCCGCATCCTGAAGCGCGCGCACTTTATCCTCCCCGAGTCGCGGTCGTGTATCCCATATCGTCCGCCGCGCCGCCGTCCACGCCCATCCTGCGCGAGGAGAAGCGCGCGATTGAGGAGAAGGAAAGGGAGAGAAGGCGGAGGGTCGTGCGGAGTAATTCGTACGGGTATATGGGTGCGGGCGGGTCGACGTCGACGCCGAGGACGCCGGTGGTGGGTGGTAGTGGGGATGCCGCGTCGACAAGGACTAGTGGGAGCAGAGATAAGGATGCGGGCGGGGAGGAGAGTACGGGGTGGCCGATGGACAAGGTCGAGAGCTTTTACCGCGAGTGCTGCGAGGGGTGCCAGGAGGTGCCGGATAAGGGCATATGTGCGGCGTTTAAGGTGTGTTTTTGCCTTTACTATGTGTTTTTTTAGAGCCGTTTGGGAGGGAGGGTGGATGACGGCGCGCGTTCGTGCCTCTCTCTCTTGACTTTCTTTACAAGGTCTTTTCTCTTTACCTGCGCGCACGCCGCCCGCCCCTTGCAATGCCTCCGTCCTGCGCTCGCCGGACGTCGAGCGCCGCGGGCCAGCACGGCGCGTGACACACGACGCACCTAGATCCGCCCGCGCTGGCGCTGATGTCGGGCGTTTCACCGGCCGGTCACCTCCTGCAGGGCCGTGTATGGTGTACACCATCTACTACCAGTGCTGCAGCGGCGGGTGAGGAGGCGTGTGTGCGGTGTCTATGTCGGCCGTGGGCGTGCAGTGGCGATTCGCGCGACGTGGCAGGGGCGGGGCGGGTGGCACACGACCACCCTCGATGTCGCTTTTCTCTCCCGTTTTGCGTGCCCGCGCGTGTCCCTTCCCATTCCTCTTCCCCTGTTCCCTCTTCCTACACTCACCATCCCCTTCCTCTTCGCTGACCACGCCCACACAGACAATCCCCCCAACGCACCCCCGCACCGTCTCCTTCTCCGGCGTCCAGCTCACCCCCGCCTCGGCCGCCATCCTCGCGGACGTGCTGAGTATCGAGTGGGGGTTGAGGAAGGTGTGTTTTTTTTTCGTTACTTGGTGTGTTTGGGGCGGGGGCGGGAGAGGTGTTGGCGTTGTATGGGACGCGGCCGCAGCCCATCGTGCACGCGTTGGCGTTGTGCACTGCGGCGGCGACTCTTCGTTCTGTACATGTTCTTCGTGTCTCGGGGTGCGCACGAGACTCGCGTCGGCGTTGGCGTTGTGCACGGGACGCGTTCTCGTTGCCGCCTTCGGCGGCAGTTCTTCGTTCTGTTCTTCGTGTTCGGGCGGAGTCGGAGTGTCGTTGGCGTTGGCGTTGTGCACGCGTCGGCGTCTCGTGCGCTACTAGCGTTTTCTGTTTTTCGTGGAGTGATATACGCAATACTAACGCCCAACCCGCAGGTCGTGTGGAGGGAGTGTGATTTGGAGGAGGCTGTGAGTGTTACTTTGCTTTTCTTTTCCTTTGCTTCCTTCCTTCTTTGCGCCTTGCGCTTTCGGCCTTCGGCTTGCACCTTTGGCTTTCGCCTTTCGTTTCTCGCCTTTGTGTTGGTCGCAGTCGCGTGCGCACAACGCCACGCGTCGTGAGACGCCGATAATGGCTGGATGGGTAGATGGATGGATTCTGACCATCGTCGACACCACCGACGTTCGACGTTCGACGTCCACCCACGCTTTCTCTTTTGGGCGGGCGCTTGGCTTGTCTACATACATACATACACATTCGCTCCCATCCTCTCCCCTTCCTCCACCTTACCATATTATTCCTTTACTCTTTCCCTTTTCTCTTATTCATATCGCATCTTAACGCTCGCTGACGCTCCCACAGACCCTAAAACCCCTCCTCCACGCCCTCCTCATCCCGCGCTCGCTGTCCTTCCTCAGTCTCGCCTCCAACAAGAAACTGAAAGGCAATGCGTGGAGGGTGGTGGGGGCGTATGTGAGTAAGGTGCGTGAGGGTTTTTTTGGAAGGTGTGAGAGTGCGGGGCTTTGTGGGTGTGGGAGTACAAGGGAGGGCGTGTGGAGGACGCGCCGGAGGGGATTGGAGTGTGGCTGGGAGCGTGCCGGCGGCGATGGCGCTGAGTGGGGCAGGCCGATGCCGATGTGGGGCGTGTATCTGGGTGCCGTATGCGGGATGACGCCGGTCGATATCGTCGTATATCGTTCACGGCGCTTGGCGGTGGACGCCTACATGCCCTATCTGCCCTCCCCTCCCCATACTACTCCTCCATCCCACCCGCCCGCATCCTTCTCTTCCAATAACGCTTCTCGTATAATACCAACGCTAACCTCGCCCACAGGCACACACCCTCACCTTCCTCGACCTCTCCTCCAACACACTCGACAAGAAGGCGGTCGAGTGCATCGGGGCGCGTTGGTGGAGTATGTGCCGGTGGAGCAGCGGTGAGTGTCCCCTTGGATTTTATCGTCTGTCTTTTCCTTTTTTTGGCGCGCGCGGATGTTCTCGGGGCGGTGACGTTTTATGTGGTCGTGGTTTCGAAGACACTGAGCCTAGAGTGTCTTTTTTCGCCGTTCCAGTCGAATGCGCGATACCGTCATGCTGGGACGATTCACTCACTCTTACATTCACTCTTCATCTGTCGTTAGACCTTCCCGCTTTTTACCCTCGCTACGAACGTTGTACTGATACTCTTCCCCAGCACAACCTCCTCCGCGGCGTTCTTCGTCTCAATATCCGACTCGGTGTCTCGTACATGAACGGCAGTGAGGTACGCTGCAGCCTCGGCTATGCGTTGGACGACAAGGACAAGGATGCGCTGGATAGGGAGGGCCGGGAGCGTAAGGGGCTTGTCTCGCTGAAGCTCGATGATTGCGGGCTGCGAGCGGCGGCGTTGGAGACATTGTGTAAGTTCTCTTTCACTTCTTGAGCTCATACTAACGTGGTTATCTACAGCCCGCGCCGTGCGCACGTCCACCCTGCGCAACATCTCCCTCCGACACAACAAGATCTCGCCCACGGGCGCCGTCGCCCTCGCGCTCATGATCCGCGACTACCCCGACGTCCTCGCCGCCCCCACCGCCACCTCCCCGTCCTCCACGTTCCTCGCCAACAGCTACAGCCACAGCTCCGTGCCCCCCAGCCCCACCATCCACCGGCCCCGGCTCGGGCTCGGCGGGCTGGGCGCGCTGAACAGCAGTCTCGCGCACGCGCAGTCGCAGATCCAAGCGCAGGGGCAGGGGCATCGCGGGAAGCCGCCGCCGCCGCCGCGCCGCCGCGCCATCCGGCACAGACGATCACGGCCGCGCAGACGACGTACACGCCGTACGCGCCTCGTCGGCGGCAGCAGTCTGCGAACGCGGGCGCGGGTGCTGGCACGGGGGTGGGGGCGGCGCCGCCGGGGCGGGCAATGGTGGCGAGTAGTGTTTTCGGCGGGGTGACGGCGCGGCATGTGCCGTCGCCGACGACGTCGTCGCCCGCCTCGTCGGTGTATGGTTGCGCGCGGGATAAGGAGCGGGAGGCGCGGGAGGCGAGGGAGAGGGAGGTGGCGCGGGAGAGGGAGAGGGATGGGCCGAGCGCGGCGCTTTTGGACAAGGTGCGGGCGTTGGATGCGC